CTTGACGAAGGCAGAGAGGTTGCCACGATAATGCTTCAGCTTGCGCTTCTCATAGTGAATGATGTCGGTGCACACGGCGTCCAGGAAGCCACTGTCGTGCGACACGATGAGGCACGACAGCGTCTTGAGCCCCGTGAGGTAGCGCTGCAGCCACTCCACGTTCGTCGTGTCCATGTGGTTCGTTGGCTCGTCTGAGCAGGGAAGGGGGGAAAGGGAGGAAGGGAAGAGCGAATGAGAGGGTTGATGGGCCAGGAGAACAATGAGCACTGCCCTCCAATAAGCCCCGTCAGGTAGCGCTGCAGCCACTCCACGTTGGTTGTGTCGGCTCGTCTGTTGTGGTTCGTCGGCTCGTCTGTTGTGGGAGGGGGGAGGAGGGGAGTGGGGAGAGGGGAGAGGGGAGAGGGGAGAGGGGAGGAAGACGGGGTAAGGGAACAATGAGCATACCTCTCGCGTCCATGTGCTTTGTCGGCTTGTCTGGCGAGCGAGAGAGGAGAGTGAATGAGGGGAAGCGGGGAGGAGGCGGAGAGGGGAAGTGGGGGGGAAGGGAACGAGGAGATGGGGGAACAGAACCCAAACTGCATGACAGCAGGAACCATGAATCCACACATGACTCAACCCCCTCCCAAACAGAACATCAACCCACACCCTCACTTTCACCCCCCTAACTCCTTCTCCCCCTCCTCTCTCTTCCACCAACTCACCGAGCAGCAGGATATCCGCCCCAATGAGCATGGCTCTAGCCAGCGCCAGCTTCATCTTCCACCCGCCCGACAGCGCCGTGATGGACTGCCGCTGCCGGTCCTCCCCAAACCCCATCTTGCCCAGCTCCCTCACCACCTCCGCCTCATCCACCCGCCCCTTCAGCGCCTCCTCCTCTAGCAGATAGTCCACTGGGCTGCGGTCAACCACACTGCTGTCTAAGTCATGCTCCACATACACTGTCCTCAGAACGTCCGCCGACGGAAACCCGTCGAGCTTCCCGTTGGCGATGGCGCGCATGAGCGTGGATTTCCCGCATCCGTTGTGCCCGCACAGCCCATACCGCCGCCCGCGCTTCAGCCATAGCCGCGTGGCAGAGAGCAGGATCTTCCCGCCGTACCCGAGGGAGAACTCACAGTCGCACAGATCCTCCCCCTCGTCCTCCCCATCCTCTGCCCCGGACCCGTCGTTGCTCCGCGACGCCTTGTGCGCCTCCCGAGCCTGCTTGCAGAACTGCCGAGCCACAGCCTCGGTGTCCTCGCCCCAGGGGGACAGGTACGGCTCGAGGCTCGGGACGACGCAGCGGACCCAATCGGATTCCTCGAAGCGCTTGGCTGCTGCGAGGACGGTGCACATGCGAACGACGTACTCTAGGGTTTGCACGAGCATGCCGCCCTTCTCCACCTCCTCCCTCGCCCCCGATGCAATCAGATTCCTTAAAAAGCCCAGCAGCACCACCGCGTTCGCTGCGTGCCTCTCTAGTAACGACCCTGCTGGATCAGCGCCAGCCCCAGAACTACCGTTACCAGCAGCACCGCCACCGCTGCCGCGCTTCTTCGCTGCAGCAGCCGCTTCCGCCATGGCCAGCGCGGCAGCGCATACATCCCCACTGCCGCTGGCGTCCTTGTGATGAGAATCCACCTCCTCCTTCATGCCCTGCAGCGTCAGCAGCACTCTGCCCGCCGTCTGCCTGCACTCGGGATCCGCCACCTCAACGCTCACCCTCTCCACGCCCGGCATCAGCATTGGCAGGAACGGCCCGAGCTCCCGCGGCTCCTCCACCAATCGCAGCACGTTCTCAATCACCACGACGGTCTTGCGCTTCACGAGCGCGGCGCGCTCCTTCATGCCGCGCACGAGCACGGGCGTCATGATGGCGAGCGCGGGCGACAGCACGGGCTGCACGAATGTGATGCCGGAGAGGCGGTTGACGCACTCGGGCACGTGCGTGGGGTGCAGAATGGCGTCCACTAGCGACGGCACTGCTGCTTCGATGTCGCGGTTGCCGATGGTGCCCGCGCACTGCAGCATGGACGCTGCTGCCGCCTTCATTACCTGCTCAGGGGGGAAAAGAGAGAAGATGCAGGGATTTAGTTCAGTTCGTATTGGGTTTGTTTCTTAGGTCGTCCAAGAGCAGGGAGTGCTGATAAACCGTACCACGCCCGCTGCTACAAGCATATGAGTTGCGAGCCTTGACCAATTAGCGTGATTCTTTTCATTTCACAAGTACTTGATGTCATATTACACACAGACAAACTCCGCGCAGTCGCGCATCTCACCTGCGCTTTGCCTTCGATCATGTACTCGGACAGCAGAGGCACGATGACGTGGAGCGCCGCTGCCACCTGGCGGGGCCCGTTGAGCGCCAGGTGGCCCACCAGCAGCAGCGCCGCTTCCTGTGTCTTCCAGCTCTTGTGGTTGCGCGCGCCCTCCACCAGCACTGCGGGGTTTGAAGGTCAAGGTTCAAGGTTCAGGGTGCAGGAAAATAAGTTTCTGGGCTTCGCGTGAGCAGGACGCCAGCGTGAGGCGGTATTCACGGTTCAAAAGAGCAAGCAGACGTGCAAGTAGGTGACAGGGTTCGGGGGCAAGGTGACGGTTTGAGGAGTTGTAACAACAAGAATCCGCAAGAGATACTCGTTTGTTTGATGTTTTACTCTTCTCATTTATCGCTCATCCACTTGACCGCCAAGCCCAATCCTCCTGAACCCAGGAATATTCAGCCATTAAAAAAAAAATGAACCCTTAATTCCCCAACTCACCCGGCAGCACGAGCGGGACGGCGTGGGGGCATAACATTCCCACAACCGCCTTCGCAGCAGCTTCCGCCGCCAGCGGAACTCCCACCGACTCGTACACTGCACTCTCCGCCGCCGGCGCGGCCGTACCCGCCTCTGGTGCACCCGCGGGCGCAGCGCCGTTTGCCGCGGGCGCAGCGGCTTTGTTCAGCAAGACTGGGGCAGCAGCCTTATTCAGCAGAACGGGACCCCCGGCTTTGTTCGCGGCCGGCGCCCCCAAGACCTTGTTCGCCGCCGGCGCGCCCAAAACCTTGTTCGCCGCCGGGCCGCCCAAAACCTTGTTCGCCGCTGGTGCGCCCAGAACCTTGCTCACTGCTGGTGCGCCCAGGACCTTGTTCGCCGCGCCTTTGTTCCCCGCAGGCACAGCTTTGCTCCCCGCGGGCGCAGCCTTGTTACCCCCGGCGGGCCCTTTGTCCCCCACGCGGAGCAGCAGTGTGGGGAGAAGCGCAACCAGTTGCGCCTCCAGAGGCGCGCCGACTGTCTCCGCGAGCTTGCGCACAAGCACCAGTGCTCCCTCCTTCACAACGGGTGTAGACGTGTCGTCGAGCCCTTGTGCGATCTTCGCGAACAGGTTGTGCGACTGCAATAATCGAAACAATGAAAAAGGAACGGTGCAAGAGAGATTGGAGGGTTTGAGTTTCATGCAACACTTGTACGCTTTCGCAGCACCAGGTACACAGGGAAGCTACTAACAGCGTGAGAGACTTGTTGCAAGACACACAACCAAGTAGGAAAACGGCGGTCAGTACCTCGCATAGCTTGACGCCGTTGCTCTTGATGAGGTCGCAAATCTCCTTGGCGACCTTCGCCTGATCCGCCGAGGCGGTGCTCAGGACAGTCTGCATGAGGTCTGCCATCTTCGCGTCGCCTGATTCGAGTCCCATCGTCGCCGACGAGAATGGTAACAGGCACGAAGGAGAACGGTGACGCTGTCCCGATCGAACGGGACTAAGATGCTATCGACGCAGGGATCGTAAGTCGATGCTTGGATAAGTATGAGTAGCGAACGAATAACGATTCGATCGATAATGGACCTCGTTCCCCACGCAGCTGGGAGAATCGTTTGCTGACGACGGCGAACAGAGGCTCCTTAGTCAAAACAGTCACAACAACACGATGAGCTAACTTCCAGGCTAGTGATCAGACATCTGGATTCAACACTTGTACAGCTGAGTCGGCTCGGGTGCGAAGGCGTGGAGGAGAGAATCAAGGAACTGAATGGGTAGAATCGAGGGAGAGAGAGGAGACAGTTGATCGAGCAAAGGTGAGGCACGGCGAGCCGAACCGAAGCAGGTTCGCTACACGAGTGGCTGGCGAGACGTCTTGCAACGCCACCACGAAATGCAGATGGGCTAGCGAAAAAATCTGCAAAAAGCAAAAGCTCGACCAACCACGACGCGTCTGTTCTGTTTCAACTCTGCCCGTTTCAACTCCATCGCGTTATGAAGAGAATGCGGTGGTGATGTGGCAGCAAGGATGCCCTGGCTCGGGGAGATACTGTCAGGGAGTTCGACAGCCTCGAGGCTCGATTTGGGGGGGAAGCTTGCCAGCAAGCGAGTGTCTGCCATGTGGTGCGTGAGAGGCCCGAGAGCGCCGCGGTTGAGGGACGTGGAGGTATGTGCGGTTTGAGTGGATGTCGGCAGCCCCACCTACCCCAGCTCGCGGGATGGATGTCATTGGCTGCTGACTATGTAAGGCAGGCGAACCACCAGTGTGACCCTCGGAGATTCCCTGTGATTTGGATTCAAATAGCGTGTGATTGAACACCAACCATTCATGAGTCGATACACATAACACTACAAACCGTACACACATCAATCCAGTACTCCCAGCCATGTGCTGAACATTTGTAAATTGTCCCACCTCCATGGAGGGAAACCCAATCATTCTTGGAAAACATGCTATCTTATATCAGCAGAGAAATGATTAGACTCACCGCGCTGAGCATATGATATGGATATAAGCACAAGGCTCATGCGAACCAGCAGCACCAACGTCCAGATTTAATACAGCTGTACACAAGCTAGCACATTACGGTACTCATTCATCGTCCGTTCAGCACGCATAAACTCCGTACATGTTCGAAAATGGTTTACATCACACAATAGCATGGACAGCCCGCTACGACACAAAGCCCAACATTCGATGGTTCATTCAGTGGCAGCAACCTGGGTTGCCATTCGGCACCGACCCGGCGAGCAGTTTATACAGTACTCTTGCATCACCTCATGATGATTGCACTGCATCGCCCGCACTTGCACCGTCACCCTCTTTCCTGTTGACTCCAGATTCCGCCTCTGCATCCTCGCTATAGTCATCCTCACTATACTGGGCAGTTGCGTCTTCACATGCATTACATGCCTTGCGGCACGCACCGGGGTTGGCAGCTGTGCCAATCATGTAAGGCCGGTTCCTCTCGCACTCACCCGTGGCCGCCCACGCATCACACCTGGTTCATGCAGCAGGGGTGAAAGAGGAGGTCCAAGAGCAGGAGAAAAGATAATTTGACGAGGGGAATGGGAGAGACAGCGAAGGAAAGATGGGGCAGGGATAGTGGGGGGGACAAGAAAGAAGAGAACGCCGGAAGGAACGAAATGGGTGAAGATATTTGGCACGGCATGAGCTGGGAGGTGGAAGGTGGAGCACACGAGTGAACAACCCACAAGCCGTTGGAGTGAACACTCACAGAGGTTCCCTGACTGAGAGGCAGCAGCAGGGGAGACTTTTGCATCAACTGAAATCTCACAGGCCGTTGGCGTCGACACAAAGGCCTCCCGTCTGGAAGCCGGGTGCAGGGGAGTCGTAGGAGCGGGCGTGGATCCACTTGGGCGCGGACCACTTGTGCCCCTCCACCACGGGGCATGCGTGGTGCAGGCTGCTGGGGTCCACTGACCCGTCCGGGTGCAGGTTGTAGAACAGCAGTGCGTCGCCCCGCACCGGCTTTACTGCACAAGTGGGGAAGACAAGGACAGGAATGCAGGAATTCAGAACGGTCCAAAGAACATGGGTCCACCGACCCGTCCGGATGCAGGTTGTAGAACAGCAGCGCGTCGCCCCGCACCGGCTTCACTGCACGCCCACGCCCACACATGTGGGGAACAGGAGGGGGAAGACAAGGGGAAGAATGTGGGTATTTGATATGGAGAGCATGCTGGAGTGCTGCTTCTCAGAGCAACTGCCAGACTCCCTCCCCCAGGTCTCCTAAGGTGCTTAAACTACAACTCAGCGTCCATTCCTGTGCCGCCATTTCCAGCAGGCGACACTGGTCACTATACCACTCCCCCTCCCCCCAACGCACCTCCCCAGAGGTCAGGCCCTCACCCGCCACACCCATGCGCCTGCCCAATGGCTATCCCCTCACCTGCCACACCCATGCGCCTGCCCAATGGCTATCCCCTCACCTGCCAGCACGCCCTTGGCACAATCCGTCCAGGAGTCGTCCTTGGGCGTGGGGTCCTTGTGCTCCGGAAATGTGGCTCCGGAAATGTGGTCCTTGTGCTGCCGTGGCGTAGGGGTGCCCTCCCTGCTGCGTGTTCACCACCACCCGCCAACACGCCCTCACCCGCCAGCCTCACCTGCCAGCACGCCCTTGGCACAATCCGTCCACGAGTCGTCCTTGGGCGTGGGGTCCTTGTGCTCCGGGAACGTGGTCTCCCCCCCCCGCGTCACGTTGTTGAGGTACATGAGCACGGTGGCGTAGCGGTGGCCGCCCTGCTGCGTGTTCACCGGGTCGTCAAAGTAGTCGTGGTGCGCCTCGTACTGCTGCCCCTTGCTGTACCGCAGGATCTGATGCGGGGGGGGGGGGGGAGGTGGGTGACGCAGCAGCAGCAAGAGAGATCGGGGAAGGGCGGGAGTGGGTCGTCAAAGTAGTCGTGGTGCACCTTGTACTGCTGCCCAACGCCGTACCGCAGGATCTGGTGCCGGGGGGAATGGCGAGAGTGGACGCAGGAGGGGGGCCAGCGGGATTGGACGCAGGCGGGGATGCAGGGCGCGGAGGTGGGGGACGAACGGGAGAGTTTGTAGTTTTTGGCACTTGCTGTGGTGCTGTTACAGTTGCAGAGCTTAACACTTAGAAATGGGGGAAGGTGGGTCACGCAGCAGGGGGAAGAGAGATGGCGGGGAAGGGGAAAGGGGAATTCAACAAGGAAATAAGGCAATTGCAGTGCATCACCCCATGACATGGCAGGGCATGGCATGCTGACCTGCAGGGACTCCTGGTTTTCGAGGGGCAGGAAGGTCCAGAGGCTGATGCGGTCCTCGATGGCTCGCACCACGGCGTCCTCGCCCTTGTCCAGAAACATGCCGCTGCTCGTCCGCACCTCGCTCACCTCGCTGTGCCCGTCCTCGCTATCCGTCACCTCCGACCTGCATACCGTGCCACACATGCCATACGTGCCGCACGCGACACATGTGCCGCATGCCACGCATGCCACATATGCCACATGTGCCATGGATTGCCCCATGGATTGCACGCAATATCACACATCCCGTGCATGGCAACCTCATGCAACGCACATGCCGTGCATGCACCCCATGCGATTTAGCTGCAGGTGAGAATGAATGATCCCGTTTAAGACCATGGCGAGCAACGTGTGTTCTTCCCGTGGACGCAGACGGAAAGGCTCAGAAAGGCCAACGATATGTTCACGACTCGACAAATGACATGTGTACAAGTCTACGTTTTGGTATCGCAACTGGCGCTACACGGAGAACAAGTTACATCCAGGCAGCGGTGCTCACCGTTCTAGGCGCGGTTGCGCGAGGCTGATGAGGTGGTCGCACTCGGCGTCCGACAGAAAGCCCTTGTACAGGTACGCGCGCGGGTTCCACGCCGACAGCTGAATGATGCGCTGCTCGCCCGCTGGTACCGGCTGGCCGTGTCAGGGAGGAGGGAGTGGGAACAGGGAAGGGACGCGCGGTGCGGGGTTACAGGAGGTAACATCGCGACGTTTACTCGCATTCGTTTGCTTCAGCGCAAGTTTGCTTGTTGGTAACGTCAAAAGTGCGTCGCGAGTAATGCCTTTTGCTAATGAGTCGTGTTCCGACGAGTTCCGGTCCGCGTACCTTCTTCGCAGAGAACGCGCCGAAGTCGAGCCAGCTGAGAGCGGCTGTTTGCATCTGGGCGAGGTCGGCTGCAGTGGACTGCCGTTGGATCAGCACACCCGCTGCCAGCACCACCGGTAGAAGCACCGCGATGACCATCAGCGGACCTGATGTCAAGGAATCCGACGCAGGCTTCTTCTTCGCGCTCTCCTGCCTAGCATCCGTGGTGGATTCGGGTTTCTCAACAGAAGTTTCTTCAGCTTCCCCTGGTTTCGCAGTCTGAGCTCGCGCACTCCCGTCTCTACTACTTTCCGTCTCATCTCGCTTGGAGTCAGTAATCTTGGTGTCGGCCATCCTGGGAAGAAAGAACCAAGTATGAGGTCAGGAACGCTGCTGAAAACACCACCAGAATAGAAATCGCACCTCTATTTCAGCTAGACGGTAAGTTAGAATGCACAGACGGAAGCACGTGAGAGGCAAAAGTACATTCAGGAAATATTCCTACAGCTCATGAACCAAATCAAGAGCTTGCAATGGAACACCATACGGATGAGTAGAATGTGATGGGTGACGTGCATTTCGGCTTGTTTAGGATCGGTAATGCTCGGTTAATCAAACTCTCGAATGGGTCTCAAGGAAATCAAGAAAGATGCAAGGGGCGTGCCGCGCAAATTCCAAAGTCCGAACCAGCAAGGATGTATAACCAATCAGAGATCAGCGTGATGCTGAGCTGGTCCCCCGAAGTAGGCACAGATTGCGGAACCACGGCTGTACCCGCCAGGAGTTTGAGATTTTTGCTCAATTCTGCGGAATCGCGGTTTGTTTTATTTTTGCCACGTGGCATGCCTATGATCGCGGGAAGCGCGATTTGTTTTATTGTTCCCACAAATTTCAAGAGAAATCTAGTTAGACTTAATGGATTACATGTACTGCCCTGCCCGCGGGCAAAAATAAAACCCCTCTAGGTAAGGCATGCGTTAGGGATGCATCAACCCTAAACACCTAGAGGCAAGGTGTTTAGGGTTGATGTCTCCCTAACGCATGCCAGGCCCGAATGGGTTTTATTTTGAACTAAACTTAACTAAATTTCTCTTGAACTTTGTGGGAACAATAAAACAGATCGCGGTTCCCCTGATCGAAGGCATGCCACGTGGCGATAATAAAACAAACCGCGATTTCGCGGAATTGAGCAAAACTCTCCAAAAGTTTCCTCTAGTCCCATTCACCCGATCTACTCAACAAATCATGATGGAGAGATTTCTGTGGAAAGCCAGCGTGTGTAGATATTGAAGTGAAGCAAGGAAGGGCCAGTCAGACATGCCACGTTCAATTAGATTGCAATTGGCCTTCGTCTGGGCCCACATCCAGTCTGGAGAAGGGTAACACAGTCAGCTACAAGTTTTGCTTCTTCGCCAATTTCGTCAATACCTGAAACCCCCAAGACGGAATTCGCTGAACCATTTCGCTATCTCTTTTACACTCATTCCTTACCCCAACCCAACCTGACTCCAACCTGCGAGGTTCTCCCCGAGAGGCAGAGAGAGCAGGGAAGCCCATCCAACCCCAACTCCACCATAGCCCTCTTCCTTCCAACGGCTGGCCTTGCTCACATTCCCATTGGCTAGCCATATCCCGCGAAGTTTCACGAGTCGCTAGATTTCGTTTCGAATTGACGGTTTGCTGTTCCCGCCTGTCGACAACGTCCCCCCAATCAATCTGATCCCTAGATCCGTTATTGTAAGAAAATCATCCGACGATTCTAGCTCACCCGGTCGCTTTTTGCGCTGCCAACGGCCATCCCCCCAGAATCCGAACCCCAATGTCCGAACCCTATCGGAGCCGCGCGGCCTAAAACAAGGAGGACCCCTCATTTTTTGTCTTCGTTCGGTAGCCGACCAGTGAACGCGAGAGTTGAGCCCCGCACCCCCAGTCCCCCTCATTCACTCCAGGTTGGCTGTGGAATTCCAACCACACCAGGCATTTTCAGCGAACGACATTCCAACCAGCGATTTTCCGAAGCGACATTTCGACCAGGGGTTTCCTAGAGCGACATTTTGACATCGCCAGTTTAGACATTTGAACGTTCGTTCAACATTCCGCTCGTTCGTCTCCTAGTCATCGTTTGTGTAGCTAGCACATTTTCACCGCAACCGACCTGCTTGCTCATCTCATTCACAGTCGCGTAAGTGATGAGCCTCACAAGAACGACAAGGTTTACCTCGTAGCCTCGCTGCACGCTTCACGGAGCTCTGAACCACTGGAACGCGTTTGGACAAGGTAACCTTTCCCTACGTTCCAGCTTACGTTTTTACCCGTTTCCCATCGCTTTTCGCATGTTTCTGACTAGCGTATTGTTCCTTTGCAGGCAACGGAACTGAAGCACTTGCTTAAGCTGACCATTTGGGATGTGCTCTTGGCTTCGTCGCAATACGAGTTGCTGGCGCAGCGTGTGTAAGTAGTAGATGTCGTATCCAGTGCTTCATGCATTAGTCCAATGCTTCTTAGATTTTCTCCACAAGTTCGATGCTTGACATTTCTTCCGTGATGTGCAGATAATCTATATACCTGAGGCGCGAAGGTGTTTTTCCGCCATTTACAAACCTGTTACCGAGGCGAAACGCGAGGTGCTTAGACTGCTATTCCGGTCCGAGCTGCTGCTGCAATCTAAGGTGGGAAACCGTGGCTTGTCCTTGTGCGTGCTGAAAGTCGTTTCGTTTGCGCGGGTTCGATTTCAGCGTCTGACGTACCTTGTGTGTTGTTCTTTCAGTGCAAGGCGTGAACGCTTTTAACGCAAGGCGAGAAGGAAGCAACGCGGCAAGCAGCTGGGTGACACAGACAGCGTGCACATCTGTGACAGCACGCTACGCGCACCACCAACCAACACGCCGTCCACGAAGCTAAGTGCTCAGCCCTTCCCGCTCTCCTTGTACCACTTCTCGTTTTCCCATGCTTTTCGAACTCTGCACGCCGTACCATGCATCTTCCCCACCTTCCCTCCCCCCCTGGGAGCCCAAGTCACACAGCGCTTGCTTGAGCCGCTTGCATAGAGCAGAGTCGCTAGTGGGTTGGGGTAGGTTAGACTAGCAGTCGCCGCTGCACGCACGCGTCCAGTCCCCTCCTCCCCTCTGTCTCCCTCGCTGTCGCTCGCTCGTGCATGTGTCCCATGGGCCTCCCCCTCCCTCCCCCCATCCCCCCCCCGTCCCCCTTCTCCCCTCCTCCCCCAGGTGCTACGCCTTTTCTGCTATCCTCTCTCCTCACTGTGTTCTCACCGCATTCCCTCCGACCCTCACTCCTGTGCAGGTCACTCGGCTGCTGCTTGCAAGGAACAGTAGCAGACGGGCGTGGGGCCGCAAGTCACCTCACCACGTGAGGCGGCATCAGCGCCTGGCGCCAGCAGAGACCTCTTGGTGGTGCCGGCACATGCTCCACCTGCCCTCTGCTCGCAACCACTTAACCAGCTAAGTGCTCGCTCCTCCATGCATCCATTCATGCTTCGCCTTTCTGTCATTTCTGTTTCTCTCAAAACGGAACCACTGGTGGCAGCACAGGAAACAGCCCACAGACCCTCCCCATTACTGGTAAAGCCCTCCCCCAGGTAAAGCGTTTTTCCAGGTAAAGCCCTCTGGTAAAGACCGTAGTCTGTGGCTTGTGAGTGTGCGTCCACCAGTGGCCCTCCTTTCGCTCTTCCTTAAATCTACCACGCTTGCATTCTCTTTTGCACTGTGCCTCCATCCCATCCCACTCACTGCCTCTCCTTGTGCAAAACCCCCTCTTCTCCCCTCCCCCCGCTTCCCCTCCCTTCCCCTCCCCCAGCTTCCAGGCCTCATCGCGAGCAGCAGTGGCAGACGGACGGACGTGGGGCAGCATCAGCGTTCTCCTCATGCCTCAAGCCACTGGCGGCAGCAGACAACACCTGGTGGTGCCGGCACATGCTTCACCTGCCCTCTGCACACAACCACCACATAATCAGCTAAGTGCTCGCTCTTCCATGCTTCCATTCGTGCTTCGCCTTTCTGTCATTTCTGTTTCTCTCAAAACGGAACCACTGGTGGCAGCACACGAAACAGCCCACAGACCCTCCCCATTACTGGTAAAGCCCTCCCCCAGGTAAAGCCTTTTCCAGGTAAAGCCCTTTGGTAAAGACCGTAGTCTGTGGCTTGTGAGTGTGCGTCCACCAGGGGCCCTCCTTTCGCTCTTCTTCAATTCTACCGCGCGTGCATCCATTCTCTTTCGCACTGTGCCTCCATCCCATCCCACTCACTGCCTCTCCTTGTGCACCTAACCCCTCCCCCACCCCTCCTCCTCCCCTCCCCTCCCTTCCCCTCCCCCGCTTCCAGGCCTCATCGCGAGCAGCAGTGGCAGGCGGACGGACGTGGGGCAGCATCAGCGTTCTCCTCATGCCTCAAGCCACTGGCGGCAGCAGACAACACCTGGTGGTGCCGGCACATGCTTCACCTGCCCTCTGCACACAACCACCACATAATCAGCTAAGTGCTCGCTCTTCCATGCTTCCATTCGTGCTTCGCCTTTCTGTCATTTCTGTTTCTCTCAAAACGGAACCACTGGTGGCAGCACACGAAACAGCCCACAGACCCTCCCCATTACTGGTAAAGCCCTCCCCCAGGTAAAGCCTTTTCCAGGTAAAGCCCTTTGGTAAAGACCGTAGTCTGTGGCTTGTGAGTGTGCGTCCACCAGGGGCCCTCCTTTCGCTCTTCTTCAATTCTACCGCGCGTGCATCCATTCTCTTTCGCACTGTGCCTCCATCCCATCCCACTCACTGCCTCTCCTTGTGCACCTAACCCCTCCCCCACCCCTCCTCCTCCCCTCCCCTCACTTCCCCTCCCCCGCTTCCAGGCCTCATCGCGAGCAGCAGTGGCAGACGGACGGGTGTGGGGCAGCATCAGCGTTCTCCTCATGCCTCGAGCCACTGGCGGCAGCAGACAACACCCGGTGGTGCCGGCACATGCTCCACCTGCCCTCTGCACACAACCACATAATCAGCTAAGTGCTCGCTCCTCCATGCATCCATTCTTGCTTCGCCTTTCTGTCATTTCTGTTTCTCTCAAAACGGAACCACTGGTGGCAGCACAGGAAACAGCCCACAGACCCTCCCCATTACTGGTAAAGCCCTCCCCCAGGTAAAGCGTTTTTCCAGGTAAAGCCCTCTGGTAAAGATCGTAGTCTGTGGCTTGTGAGTGTGCGTCCACCAGTGGCCCTCCTTTCGCTCTTCCTTAAATCTACCACGCTTGCATTCTCTTTTGCACTGTGCCTCCATCCCATCCCACTCACTGCCTCTCCTTGTGCAAAACCCCCTCCTCTCCCCTCCCCCCGCTTCCCCTCCCTTCCCCTCCCCCAGCTTCCAGGCCTCATCGCGAGCAGCAGTGGCAGGCGGACGGACGTGGGGCAGCATCAGCGTTCTCCTCATGCCTCAAGCCACTGGCGGCAGCAGACAACACCTGGTGGTGCCGGCACATGCTTCACCTGCCCTCTGCACACAACCACCACATAATCAGCTAAGTGCTCGCTCTTCCATGCTTCCATTCGTGCTTCGCCTTTCTGTCATTTCTGTTTCTCTCAAAACGGAACCACTGGTGGCAGCACACGAAACAGCCCACAGACCCTCCCCATTACTGGTAAAGCCCTCCCCCAGGTAAAGCCTTTTCCAGGTAAAGCCCTTTGGTAAAGACCGTAGTCTGTGGCTTGTGAGTGTGCGTCCACCAGGGGCCCTCCTTTCGCTCTTCTTCAATTCTACCGCGCGTGCATCCATTCTCTTTCGCACTGTGCCTCCATCCCATCCCACTCACTGCCTCTCCTTGTGCACCTAACCCCTCCCCCACCCCTCCTCCTCCCCTCCCCTCACTTCCCCTCCCCCGCTTCCAGGCCTCATCGCGAGCAGCAGTGGCAGGCGGACGGGCGTGGGGCAGCATCAGCGTTCTCCTCATGCCTCAAGCCACTGGCGGCAGCAGACAACACCCGGTGGTGCCGGCACATGCTCCACCTGCCCTCTGCACACAACCACATAATCAGCTAAGTGCTCGCTCCTCCATGCATCCATTCTTGCTTCGCCTTTCTGTCATTTCTGTTTCTCTCAAAACGGAACCACTGGTGGCAGCACACGAAACAGCCCACAGACCCTCCCCATTGCTGGTAAAGCCCTCCCCCAGGTAAAGCCTTTTTCCAGGTAAAGTCCTCTGGTAAAGACCGTAGTCTGTGGCTTGTGAGTGTGCGTCCACCAGTGGCCCTCCTTTCGTTCTTCTTCAATTCACCACGCTTGAATGCATGCGCCCCTTCCGTGATGGTGACTCCCTCCTACTCACTGCCTCTCCCTCGCCTCCCCTCCCTCCCACTCCCCTCCCCTCCCCTCCTCTCCCCTCCCCTCCCCCCCAATCCCCTCCAACCCCCCTCGCAGGAGCTCAAGAGCAGCGCTGCTGGTCGCCTGAGACGCCATGCCATGCCTGCTGCCCATGCTGCTTCAACTGCCTCCTGCTCTCACGCCATCAGCTAAGTACCCGTTCCGCCATGCCCTCACCCTTGCCTGCCACACCGTTTCCTTCGGTTCATCTGCTGTTGCACTGTGATCTTGAAACAAGTCCACTGGTTGGGCACTGCTTACATGCTACAGACCTCCCTGCTTCAGGTAATTCCTTCAGGTGCAGGTAACCCTCTCAGGTGCAGGTACACCCCTCAGGTTCTTTTTCAGGTGCCCTTTTGTCTGTAGCTTGTGGCCGTGCATCCACCAGTGGCTCCTTCCTCTTCTCATGCTCTGAATTTGAATTCATGGTTACCCATTCAACTTGCTCCCACCACCGTGCTCTCACTAGCTCTGTGTGTGCACATTGCAGGTGGTGGGGAGGGGTGTGGGGTCAACACCGACGCTCCCTCACGTCCCTCCCCTGTGGCCGTGCAGGGACGCGCACGGGAAGGCGGGGAGGGGGGCGGCCATTGAGGGAGGCAGCTGGTGGTGCTTCAGCTGCCTTGAGCTCGCCCTCTCCCATCAGTTAAGTAACTCTCCTCCATTCCCTCACCCTTGCCTGCCGCATCATATATAGTACCTTTCTTGCCGCCATTTCGTTTTCTGGTTGTGCTTTCGCCCTTCCCTTTCAAATCATGCCACTGGTTGAGTGAAGTTCACATGCCACAGACACCCGCACTTCAGGTAACCCCCTCAGGTATGCAAGTAATCCCCTCAGGTGTGCAGGTAACCCTCTCAGGTGCAGGTCTCCCCCTCAGGTGCAGGTTCCCTTGGTGTCTGTGGCGTGTGGCCTTGCCTCAACCCGTGGCCCTCCCTTCTCTTCCAGTTTTGGCAGTTTCCAGTCTGTGGCTTGTGCTCGCAGCCATGCCATGCACACTGACCATCGCCGTGTGTGTGCATTGCAGGTGGAGGGGAGGGGCGTTGGGGTCTACACCGACGCTTCCCCACGCCTCTCCCCTGTGGCCGTGCAGGGACTAGCGGGGATGGGCGGGAGGGAGGCAGCGCTGCACCAACTTCACATTGTTGTCGCGAGGGAGAGTATCGGGATGGGCTTGGCCTCGCAAGGTGAGCCTCTTACCTCGCTTTCCCGCTGCACTCGTTTTCTGCTCAGTTTCCCTCTCGCGTTCGCCTCTCTGATTCGCCCTTGCCTGTTTCAAGGCTTGCACTCACTCCCCTCCTGGCCTCCCCTTCCGTTCTGCCCCCTTCCAGGTCACTTGCAATGCAGCAGAGACAGCTGACGGGACCAGTTGCGACAGCATCAGCAGTGGGGAGCACTGGTGCAGCAGGGGGGAGGGGAGGGGAGGGATGGGGACATGAGGCAGCAGCTCTCGGCGGTTCTTCAGCTGCCAGCTAAGTGCTTTCGCCTCCCTGGACTCACTCTTGCTTGCTGCTCACTGCCCATATTGCTCGCTCAAGATTTTTTCGCATGGGCTTCTGTGTTTTATCCCTGAAATCTTGCCACTGGTTGGGGCCCGGTTCACAAGCCACAGACACCCGCACTTCAGGTAACCCCCTCAGGTGTGCAGGTAACCCTCTCAGGTGCAGGTCTCCCTCTCAGGTGCAGGTTCCCTTGGTGTCTGTGGCGTGTGGCCTTATTTCAACCGGTGGCCCTCCCTTCTCTTCCAGTTTTGGCAGTTTTCAGCCTGTGGCTTGTCTTGTGCCCATGCCATGCACACTGACCACCGCCGTGTGTGCGCATTGCAGGTGGTGGGGAGGGGTGTGGGGTCAACACCGACACTTCCTCATGCCTCTCCCCGGTGGCCGTGCAGGGACTCGTGGGGACGGGAGGGAGGCAGCGCTGCAGCATGGCAATCCCACTGCAGCAAGGGAGAGTATCGGGATGGGCTTGGCCTCTCAAGGTGAGCCTCTTACCTCTCTTTCCCGCTGGACTCATTTTCTGCTCAGTTTCCCTCTCGCGTTCGCCTCTCTGATTCTCCCTTGCCTGTTTCAAGGCATGCACTCACTCCCCTCCTGGCCTTCCCTTCCGTTCTGCCCCCTTCCAGGTCACTTGCAATGCAGCAGAGACAGCTGACGGGACCAGTTGCAGCAGCATCAGCAGCAGGGGGCGCGGAAGCAACAGGGGAGGGTAGGGGAGGGAGGGGGACATGAGGCAGCATCTCTCGGCGGTTCTTCAGCTGCCAGCTAAGTGCTTTCGCCTCCCTGGACTCACTCTTGCTTGCTTGTCGTTTTCGCATGGGCTTCTGTGTTGTTTCTTTGAGAGCTTGCCACTGGTTGGGGCGCGGTTCACAAGCCACAAACCTTCCCTTTACTCCTGGTAAATCCCCTCAGGTTAAGCCTTTCTTAGACCTTACAGCCCCATCAGGTACAACCCCTACTGCAGGTTTATCCCCTCAGGTTTTCTTTAAGGTCTGTGGCTTTGGGTCGTGTTTCCACCAGTGGCCCCTCCCCTCGCTTGTGCTGCCTTTAAGATTCACAGTTGCCAATCCAGCTTGATTCCTTGGTTGCACACTGACAGGCTCTGTGTGTGTTCATTGCAGGTGGCGGGGAGGGGCGCTGGGGTCAACACCGACACTTCCCCACGCCTCTCCCCGGTGGCCGTGCAGGGACTCGTGGGGACGGGAGGGAGTCAGCGCTGCAGCAGATGGCAATTGCTGCCACAAGGGAGAGTATTGGGGCGGGCTCGGCCTCTCGAGGTACGTCGGCTTTCTCCTTGCCCTCAAGGTCGCTTTCTGCTGCTCGTTTCTCTTCCCTCTTAGCATCAGTGCCTCCTCTGCTGCTCAACTTTCTGCTTCGCCCTTGCTTGCGCCAAGACCTGCACTCACTCGCCCCCTGTCCTTCCCTTCTTTTCTGCCCCCTTCCAGGTCACTCGCAAGTCACCAGAGGAAGCAGCAGCAGCTGCAGCACCAGAGGATGCAGCAGCAGCAGGGGGGGAAGGGGGGGAAGGTGGGGGAGCGCAGAAGGAGCAGCAGAGGGGAGGTAATGAGTGAAGTCAACAACTTCAGCTGCCAGCTAAGTGCCTTCTCCTCCCTGTATCAACCTTGCTTGCCGCTCTTTCCTCACATTGCTGGCTGATTCATTGTCGCATGTGCTTCTCTCTTTTTCCCCTGAACAACTCGCCTCTGGTTGGAGCCCGGTTTGCAAGCCACAGACCACCCCCCCCCTTTCTGTTGCTAAGACCCTCAGGTTAAGCCCGCCCTAGCCGTTACACCCCCCTCAGGTTACCCCCTACTTTCAGGTTTACTTTTCAGGTTTCCCTTAATGGTCTGTGGCTTGTGATTCTTCCCTCCACCAGTGGCCCCTTCCCTCCACTTCCCTGCATTTGAAGTCCCAGCTGCCATGTCAGCCTTGTGTTATGATTGCACACTGACTATCTCTGCTTGTTGCATTGCAGGTGGAGGGGAGGGATGTGGGGTCAACACCGACACTCCCCCACGCCCCTCCTCTGTGGCCGTGCAGGTACCCACGGGGATGGGAAGGCGGCAGCACTGCAGAAGCTTGCAGTAGGTGCCAAGGGAGAGTGTTGGGGTGGGCTGGCCTCTCAAGGTGTGTTACCTCCCTCCTTGAAGTGCATTTGTTGCTGCAGTTCTCTCTGCATTTCCCCCTTCTTGTCTTTGTCAGCTTATGCGTTTCTGTGTTGACTTTTTATTTCTGTTCACGTCACATCCCTAACCTCCTTCCCTTTCTCTCCTGTCCCACTCCCCCTTCTCTGCCCGTCACCAGGCCACTTGGCATCAAGGCAAGAGTGCAGCAGAGGAAGCAGAGTAGCAGACCAGCAGCAGCAGTTGCAGCAGCAGAAGCAGCAGCGCAGCAGCAGTGGGGGGTGGGGGGCTGGGCAGGAGATTAGGCTAGGCATGGTGTGAGCGAGGTGTGGTAAAAGGTTTGGTAAGGTACCAGGTGAGGTGTGGTGATCTGATTCCCTCCCCTCTCTTTCTCCCTCCCTTTCTCTCCTGCAGGCTGAAGGTGGGAACACTGGAGCAAGGGCGGGAAAGTGGAGTCTACCCTCTCTCACTCACCTCCTCCTCTCTCCCTTTTCCCTTCCCTCCCAGCAGCACCCTGCCTGGACCACAGAGGAGTCTCTCTCTCCCTCCCCTAATCCCCCCTTCTCTCTCCACTTCCCAGCAGCCTCAGCATCATGGCGCTCTGCACAGCTGTGGTAGGTACAGGTGAGGAGGCATGGGGGTGAAGTGTGGGGTGGGGGGTGGGGAGCATGGGAGCAAGTGGGGATTTCACTGCCTTAGGGGCAGCATCACCTGGGATTGCGTCTTGTGGTGGTGGGGTGTGGTGGGTGGAATCTGCGCGGCACGGCACTCGGTGCTCAAGTAACCGATCTGACGTGCAAGGCCTAATGGACACCGTCAGAGCCGACCGGCCGGCGGCTCTGGTTCGCGTCAGCTCTGGCTACGTCAGGGGTGGGATTTGAGTCTTGGGCTGGAAGCAATTTTCCACTACCACGCCTCGCCCCACAAGGCACCGCCTTTGGGGGTGCTGTTTCCTTAAGAAAGTGGGCTTTCTGCTGCTCCTACTGCTGGCAGGTGAAGGTGGGGATGGGCTGGGTAGGTGAGTGAGAGAGAAGGGGCCTGAAACCCCTTGAGCGGGTGAGAGAGAAGGGGCCTGAATCCCCTTGGGTTGGGTGGGTGAGAGGGAAGGGGACTGAATCCCCTTGGGTTGGGTGGGTGAGAGGGAAGGGGCCTGAATCCCTTGGGTTTGGTGGGTGAGAGGGAAGGGGACTGAATCCCCTTGGGGTGGGATGGGTGAGAGGGAAGGGGTGAATCCCCTTGGGTGGGATGGGTGAGAAGGAAGGGGTGAATCCCCTTGGGTGGGATGGGTGAGAAGGAAGGGGTGAATCCCCTTGGGTGGGATGGGTGAGAAGGAAGGGGTGATTCCCCCTGGGTGGGATGGGTGAGAAGGAAGGGGTGAATCCCCTTGGGTGGGATGGGTGAGAAGGAAGGGGTGAATCCCCTTGGGTGGGATGGGTGAGAGGGAAGGGGTGAATTCCCTTGGGTGGGATGGGTGAGAAGTAAGGGGTGAATCCTCTTGGGTGGGATGGGTGAGAAGGAAGGGGTGAATCCCCTTGGGTGGGATGGGTGAGAAGGAAGGGGTGAATTCCCTTGGGTGGGATGGGTGAGAAGGAAGGGGTGAATCCCCTTGGGTGGGATGGGTGAGAAGGAAGGGGTGAATCCCCTTGGGTGGGATGGGTGAGCGGGAAGGGGACTGAATTCCCTTGGGTTGAGTGGGTGAGAGGGAAGGTGACTGATTCCCCTTGGATTGGGTGGGTGAGAGGGAAGGGGATTGAATCCCCTTAGGGTAAGGGTGTGAAACCCTTGTGTTGAGTGGCCATGAGTGTGCTCTGTCATTGTGTGGCATGTCATAGTGTGGCTTGTCTTCGTGTACTCTGTCATGGCCTGGCATGGCATAGTTTGGCATGCCATGCCATGGTTTGGGTTCTGGTATGTTGTGGGATGGTATGGTTTGGCATTCCATGCTGTGGCATGTGTGGTTTGTCATTGTCTGGCATGCCATGTGTGCCATGGTATGGTGTGTGATGCCATGGCATGATGTTTCATGGTGTGGCATGGCATGGCATGGCAACATGTTATCTGCAGGCTGACAATCTCTGGAGGCAAGTGGAGTATGATTGAAGGCAAAGAAGACTACATAGGGAGGGAAAATAATTGTAGATGGTTGGAGATGTGTAGGGAGTGTAGCATGCCCTGATTTTGTGAACTTTGAGATGGAGCTATATGTGTAGTCGCATAAACGTTACCCTACCATAATTCAGATTTGTTTGATTGCGAAGCGAACGGATGTGATAAATTGTCACTGCATGAGAATTACACCAGGCCCTCAGATTCACCTTTGGGTACCCTGATGCATCAAGGTCTCCCTGAGAAAAAAGGCTGATTGACAGTGTTGCTAAGAAAAAAAGCCTGAAAGTTCTGTTGGAAACAATCGATCTTAAAGCGCCTCTGTCGTGTCGAAACACTAAGGCACAAACAAAGCGAAGCATATCGAAGCACCGGCGAGTCAACCCTCGGAGGTTGAAAGTAACTGTTGGAGGTTACGCGAAAGTCAAAGGTCAGCGACCTTTGACCTGACAAAGTACAGCGCGACAGCAAGGACACACAACTGACTCGCTACAGAGCAGTTGCCCGAGTCGTCACTGTATCGAACCGCAACAGCAACAGTAAAACAGTTATAACTGTACCCCTTCATATTCTCTGTATTCATACCGTATATAATCTTGTATCTCTCTGTTTTTAATCAATCAACTTTGCCCTCACATACTAGCGCAAGGTGGTTCACAACTCTTCATTAAACGCTTCCGCTATTACATCAGTCCTACCCAGAGTTCACCCCTGCAAAGATCCTAAGGGCTATTTTCTCAGCCCAACAAGTTCAGTGTTACTATAGAAAAAAACATGATAGAGTAGTGTCAGAAAAGCCTGATAGGAGATAAAAAGGCTGAAAAACCAGTGTTATAAAATATAAAAGCCTGAAAGTTCAGCATTGGTACAGAAAAAAGCCTGAAATTCAGGAATATCAGGGTAAAAAGCATGATATCTGAGGTCCTGAATTACACCCTTCGATACCACATTTTGATCAGTATTGCACAGAACAGAATAGAGCCAAGGTTTTCTTGCTATGTGTGTGTCAATAGTACGCTCTGCAATCAGGCATCTTCCAGGCAGCTCTGTGTGCACTGTATCAAATCAGGCCAGAAGATGTGCCAACGGCAGCACTTTTAGCTGAGCACTTGACAATCACCACCTCTAGACGCATCGCGCAAGCCTGCACATTCTTCAAACCGAATCGAACCACGGCGCAGGGTGTCACACCAAGATAGCTACGGTAATACCGTATGCATCACGTACCTACGCAACATTTACTTCCACCGCACCTTGCATCTGACCTTGCACCACAACAGGAATGCCAGCAATACCATGGCGCACACAATGCTCCTCCTACTCCACTACTCCTACCGACCTATCACCAGCCTCTCCAACAGTGAGGGCAGTTTCCCCTTAGCGCCTGCTGCCTCTGCTCTGCCGCTCTTGCCATCAGCACCACCTGAAGCTCCCTCAGAGCCAACCACTGTTCCTCCTTGCTGCCCCTGTCTGCCCTCCTTCCTAGCAGTCCCCTGGCTGCCAGTGCTTCCTCTGGACGTCCCCTGCTCCTTACCACTGCTGCTGCTGCTGCTGCTGCTAGTGGTGGTGGTGGTGGTGACAGAGGTCACAGTGGAAGAGAGCCTTCCTGCACTGCTGCTACTGCTGCTGCTACCTGTGCCCATGCTGTCAGCACCAACGGTACCGCTGCTCCTGTTTTTACTGTTGCTGTTAGCACACGCCTCTTCTTCACTCCCACTCACCTCCCACTGCCGATCAACACCCTCTCTGCTGCTCTTGCTGCTGCCCTGCTTTGCTATCTCCCTTGCACTGCCACCATCAGAAGCAGAGGATCGTAAGGAATCACCGGGAGCAAAGTCAAACGGCATCGAGTGCCGGCGTGCCTGCCCGCTGCCACTGCCACTGCTTCTCTTGCTCTTGTCCTCGTTATTAGCTGTCTCGTTGCGCTTTCTGTGGGCAGGAGGGTCGATGAGGGTGTACTTCTTCCTGCTTGTCGGGGTGGTTGGGAGGGCCATGGAGGGCGGGGAGGTGGGACTGGGGCAGGATTTACTGTGAAGAATGGCAGCAGCAGCATTACGTGCAGCAGCAGCACTACTGGCGCCAGCAGCAGCAGAAGCCGGAGGCGCAGCAGCAAGAGAGGAGGCACGGGGTCGAGCTACGGGATTGGCCGCATGGCTGATGGTGGAAGAACTGTCAAGGGCAATGGGATCATCAGCAATAGGGAGCTTGGGGTTGGCAACGCCACTGCTGCCCTTCGCATGTGTGGCTGCGGCGGCGCTGCTACCACTGCTGCCACTGTTGGTTATCCCTGACTGCCCCAGCCGCCCCTTTGCCCGGCCTACTGCTGCAGAGGCTGTTTTTGGTCGCTGCTGCTCGCCCTGCCTCTGCCCCTTCCCCTTCGCCTTTGCCTTCACCTTCCCTTGTTCCTCTTCCTCCTTCTGCTGCTGCTTCTGCTTCTGCTGCTCCTTCAAATAGTGCTCGCTCCTTGGTTTTCTCCCTTCAATCCAGCTCCCACCACCAAAACCACGAGTACGACCTCCCCCAGCCGCACCTGCTGCACCAGCGCCAGTTGAACCTGCAGCAGCACCAGAAGCGCTGACAGAAGTGGCAGCACTGCTGGCACTGCTGCTCCTGAACCAGCTGTCAACAGCCTTGCTGGGAGTTCCCCCTGAGGGCGTGCGGGGCGATGCAAGCAAGGAGGAGAAGGAAGAGAGGGCGGAGAGCGAGGGCCGGGCGGAGGGGCGAGAGAAGGCGAGGCGAGGCGAGCAGGAAGGGGGGGCATTGGAGGCATGCAACTCGTCTGGATACATAAGCTCCTGCTCCTGCTCCTGCTCCTGCTCGTGCTGCTGCTGCTGCTGCTGCTGGTTCTCCTGCTGCTTCTGCTGGTGGTGGTGTGGCTGGGACGAGTGGGAGTGGAAAAAGGGACTCTTTCCGGTGTTGCTGCTGCCTGCTCGCCCCTTGCCCAGGCCACTGCCTGTGCTGCCAGTAAACGCACCAAGCGACGCAGAGAGCAGCGAGCGAGGCGTGAAGATGCTGCGTCGTGGGGTGAGCGGCGTGGAGGGAGTGAGCGGCGTGGAGGGAGTGAGAGGGGCCGTGGGGGTGGTTGGAGCGGGAGTAAGGGCGGAGGAGGAGGGCGAGGAGGAGGCGGGGGAGTGAGGGGGCGAGGGGGATGCGGTGCGAGGCACGTGAATGACAAGAGAGGTGGCGGGGTGAAAGCGGAAGCTCCTCTGCTCTTCCATGCCCATCATGGCAGCACCAATGCTATCCCCTCTGTTACCCTCGACTGGTGCACCGCCAGGGCTCCATGCAGAGAGCTTGAACGACCCCAGGTGCAGAGGTGAGAGCAGCGCTGCCTTGCGGCCCTGCCCCTCCCCCTCATTGCATGCGCTCACAGCCCCTTGCTCCTCCTTCTCCTCTGCACCACTATCGCCATCCTCCTTGCTTGCTTCGCTGCAGCTGCGACTCTCCTTGTGGCTGGTAGCAGGCTGGGATGCCTCCTGGCCGATATCCCTTGCAGCGTCTGCTGATGCTGCATCCACCAGAGCCCCTGCCCTTGCACCAGCCTCACCTGCCATGTCACCTCCTGTGCCGTCACTAACTGCCACATCACCACCTGCCTCGCCAGCACCTGCCACGTCAGTATCTGCCACAGCTGCTGCAGCTGCTGTGGCGGATTCCTTCACTTGCCCCTCCTCTGCTCGCACAGACCCCACAACCGCTAGCGGCTCCATCTGCTGCTCCGCCTCTTGCTCCTGCTCCTGCAACTGCTGCTGCTGCTGCTGCTGCTGCTGCTCTGCCTGCCTTTGCTGGCAAGCCTGCTGGCTGTGGGGCGAATCCTCACAAACTTCACCACGTGCATCATCACATGCATCACTGCACGCCTCATGTGCCTCCAGCCCCACCAGCAACACCTCATCCTCCACAGGTACCATGCCATACACCTGCACCCCCCTCCCCTCCTCGCCCTCCTCCCCCTCCTCCTCCTCGCCCTCCTCCCCCTCTTCCCCTTCCTTTCCCTCTTCAACTTCCTCCCCTTCTTCCCCTATCTCCCCCTCCTCCAACTCCTCCTCCACCTCCACCTTGTCGTCCTCCTCCCCCCTTTCCCCTTGCTCCTCATCATCTCCCCTCTCCTCCCCATCGCCACACGGCAGTGCATCCCCACCGTCCTGCACCCATCCCTGCAGTCCACATGCCTGCAGCCCCGTGCTGCCTTCCAGGCGCGCACCTCCATGCGCATCAGCAGCAGCCACTACAGCAGTAGCAGCAGCAGCACCGGCAACAGCGGTGCTGTTCAAATTACCAAGCAAGTGCAAAGCTGCCTGCGCGTGCTGCTGTGAGTCAGTGACATCACCACCATTGCTACTGTCGCCATCACTAGTGCGAGCGGTGACAACATCAGGGTGAGCCGCATCAGCTGCCCCATTCTGGTATGCAGTGCTGGGCACAGGGGGAGGTGGTGCAGGGGAAACGTGTATGAGGGGATGTGCCACATCGAGGGGATGTGCCACATCAAGGGGTGCGTGCACGGCACCATGCATGGCCGCGTGCGGATGGGCATGCAGATCCAGACTCAAGTCTGAGGAGGAGGCACAGCTGCTGGAAGCGGTGTGGCATGGCGTGGCCTCAGCCGCAGCAGCAGCAGTAACGGCAGCAGCAGTAGGGGTGGGAGGCAAGGAGTGGTCCAGAGGTGAGGCCAGGGAGGCATGGGTATGTGAGAGCACGGAGTCGGACCCACTGCTGCTCTTCCTCCGCTTCTCCCCATCCCTCCCTCGCCTCGCTCCCCCTGCCCTCCCACCCACCTCCCTCTCCGTCTTGACACCACCACCAGTCTCACAAGACCCTTCCCCATGCTCACCCTCCTCCTCCTGCTTCCCTCTATCCTCCCTATGCTTCCCTTTCTCTTCCTTGTGCTTCCCTTTCTCTTCCTTATGCTTCCCTTTCTCTTCCTTGTGCTTCCCTTTCTCTTCCTTATGCTTCCCTTTCTCTTCCTTGTGCTTCCCTTTCTCTTCCTTATGCTTCCCTTTCTCTTCCTTGTGCTTCCCTTTCTCTTCCTTATGCTTCCCTTTCTCTTCCTTATGCTTCCCTTTCTCTTCCTTGTGCTTCCCTTTCTCTTCCTTATGCTTCCCTTTCTCTTCCTTGTGCTTCCCTTTCTCTTCCTTATGCTTCCCTTTCTCTTCCTTGTGCTTCCCTTTCTCTTCCTTATGCTTCCCTTTCTCTTCCTTGTGCTTCCCTTTCTCTTCCTTATGCTTCCCTTTCTCTTCCTTGTGCTTCCCTTTCTCTTCCTTATGCTTCCCTTTCTCTTCCTTATGCTTCCCTTTCTCTTCCTTGTGCTTCCCTTTCTCTTCCTTATGCTTCCCTTTCTCTTCCTTGTGCTTCCCTTTCTCTTCCTTATGCTTCCCTTTCTCTTCCTTGTGCTTCCCTTTCTCTTCCTTATGCTTCCCTTTCTCTTCCTTGTGCTTCCCTTTCTCTTCCTTATGCTTCCCTTTCTCTTCCTTGTGCTTCCCTTTCTCTTCCTTATGCTTCCCTTTCTCTTCCTTGTGCTTCCCTTTCTCTTCCTTGTGCTTCCCTTTCTCTTCCTTGTGCTTCCCTTTCTTTTCCTTATGCTCTCCGTCCTTCTTCTTCCCATGACCCTTCCTCTCACCGTGCTCCCCTTGCCTCTCCTCATGGCTTCCCTTCTCTCCCACACTCTCTCCCTTCGCTCGCCCCTCTTTCCCTTTCTTCCCCTCTTTCTTCCCCCCGTGCTTCCCCTTCTCCCCTTCACCCTCCCCAATCTCCCCCCCATGCTTTCGCTTCTCCTCCCTACTGTGCCGCTTCTCCTTCCGCTGCTTCTCCCCTTTCTTGTCCCGTTCCCTCGTCCCACTCTCACCCTCCTCCTCCACCTTACCCAAGTCCCTCTGTTCTCGTCCCCCCGCCCCGCTCTCCTCCTTCACTTGCACCCCATGCCCCACTGCACCCATCTCAACCGCTTCACACACTGCTGCGCCATCCCCCACCACCTCCACAGGTAATCCCTCCTCGTCTTTGTCTTTGTGCCTTCCATGCCGCTTCTCAACCCCCCTCGGACTCTTCTCAACCCCCCTCGGACTCTTCTCAACCCCTCGCGGGCTCTTTTTTGATCTCTTCGGACTCTTCATCGCTGCTGCACCCTTCGAGCTCTTAGACGCCTTACCTGCTTTCCTCGGGCTCTTTTCTGGATGCTTCGGGGTCAGAATCTCCTGTGCCTTTCCCTCCCCATGCTCCACCGCATGACCTTTCTCACGGTCCTTGTCGTGCCTGCTGCTCTCATGCCTTCTGCTCTCGTGTTTGCTGCTCTCGTGCTTATTGCCCTCGTGCCTGCTGCTCTCCTTGCTTCCCGACCTCTCATGACCCCTTTTGTGCTCCTCACCATGTCTCCTCTCCGTGCATGCGCCTGCACTCCTGCCCACCCCTGCATGCACACCATCAGACCCCTTCGCCAGCTTCTTATGCCGCACCCCGTGCTCTCCACTTTCCTCCCCTTCTGTACTCACCCTCTCAGCCCCCACCTCTTCCGCTTCCTCCTTGCCCCCGTCCCCAGGAGTCCACTCTCCCTTCTCTCCTTCCGCTCCCTCCTCGTGCACCTTCCTCCTCTGCCCACCCTTCTTCCCCGCCTCTCTCTCCTTCCCCGTCTTCCCCCTCTCTCCCACTGCATTCCTCTCCCGCTGCCGCTGCTCTCTCCTGCTGCCACCTGCGCCCTTGCCCTCACCCTCGTCCGCACTCAACTGCACGCCACTCACATCGCTCTCCCCGCTCCCGCTCGCTCTCCTGCGCCGAACAACATTGCCGGTTGCCCTCCCGCTCCCACCCACACTGCTGCTCGACCTCCCACTCCCTCCCACACTGCCACTCGACCTGCCACTCCCATGCTCCTCACTGCTGCGCCCACTGCCCGCCCCTCCACCTCCCCGTGCCGCACCCACACTGCGTCCATCCAGGGCCGCACCCGCCTCACTCCCCACCCTGCCCGTTGCCTGCTGCGCCACTGGCGTGGCATGGGCAGAGTCAAGAGCAGGGGAAAGGTGGGAAGCAGAGGACGGGTGGGCAGCAAAGGACGGGTGGGCAGCAGGGTGAGGGTGGGGGACAGGCACATGGGCTGATTGGGTAGCTGCATGTGAGCTGCGTTGCTCAGGCGCCCTTGCTCCCACTGCCTTGTGCAGTGCAGGCTGAGGGGAGGATGGGCGCTGCAGCGGCGTGACTGAGGGGCGCTCCTGAGGGGCCGTGGAGGATCGCTGTAATGGGGCAGTTGAGGGGCGCTCTGATGCTCGTGCCCCTGCACGCCTCACACTCCCCCCAGCACTGGATACCGGGCTGGGGGAAGAGGGGCGTAGTGAGGGGGAAGAGGGGTGCAGTGAAGGGGAAGAGGGACGTGGGCGTGAGGGGGAAGAAGGGCGTAGTGAGGGGGAAGAAGGGCGTAGTGAGGGGGAAGAAGGGCGTAGTGAGGGGGAAGAGGGTCGCAGCGCGGGTAGAACGGAGCGTGGTGCCAGGGAGGGAGGGCGCAGTGGAGAAGTAGGCCCTCCAGGTGCAGCAGTGCGGGCACCAGAGGCAGCAGCAGTGGCAGCGGCAGTGGAGAGAGCAGAGGGCGGCAGGCTGAGAGTCTTCACAAGGCCTCTGGGTCTACCGGGCTGGTGATGCTGGTGCTGTGGGGGCTGCTGCTCATGGGGGTGCTGTGGGGACTGCAATAGTTGGTGCGCGGACTGGTGCTGTTGACGTTGAGAGCTTGAGCGAGCTGGGTCAGAGAGACGGGACGCAGCAGGAGCACCGTGAGAGTGAGGCACACTCAGGGCAGCAGGCGGTGGCACACTGCTGCTGCGGATCAACGCCCTTCTGCCGACTGGGCTTGTACCCACACCTACCCGTCCCTCCTTCCCAACCCCCTCTGCATGCAGCAGCTCTTGCCCTGCCATGCCCTGCTGTACGCCTCCCTGCCCATGCCCCTTCTGCACCTCAAGCTGCCCCTTCTCCCTCTCCTTCTCCTTATCCTTATCTCTCTCCTCATCCTTCCCCATCTCCTTCGTTTCCCTCTGCTCATGCGCCATCCTGTGCCCCTGCGTCTCATACTGTGCATGTCTCTGACTCTGGGACCGCGCCTCCCCCCTCACCGCGTGGCCCATCTCCTTCTCTTCCCCACGCGCCCCATACACCCACATCGGTTGCCCCCCCTGCTTCTGCCATCCTGATTTCCACGGCAATTCACGTCCCCCTTCACTGCCCCCACCACCGCCCCCACCACCGCCCCCACCACCGCCCCCATCACCGCTCCCCTCACCGCCCCCATCACTGCTCCCCTTCCCTGATTCCGCATCCCTTGCTGTGCTCTGCCCCTCCCTCTCCTCCCCTCCGCCCACACCCTCCTGCTTCCTCCCTCGGACCTCTCTGTTGACCTCGCCTCCGCCACCGCCACTCTCCTCTCTCGTTCCATCACTCATTCTCCCCGCCTCCTGCTCTCCCTTGCCGCATCTCCCCTCCGTCTCCTCACCTCCTCTTATTCGTTCATGGCTCTCATTCGAATCCTCTACAACACTCCTCCTCCTGTCCGAGACACTTTGCAGCCCCTGTTCCTTCTTCACCTCCTTTTCCTGCTCCGTCTCTTCCACCCTTCCCTCGCAGTTTCTCTCCAACCCATCTCCCTCCCCATTCCTCTCCCCATTCCCCTCACTCTTCCGCTCTGTGTTCCTCTCTCCCTTGGCCACCCCCTCCCCCTTGCCCTCCACCCTCCGTTCCACCTCACTCAGCCCTCTCCTCCCCTCCCCATCCGGCATCCTCCCCTCGCTTGCCGCGCTCCCCTCACTCTCCTCGCCTTCCTCCTCGCCCTCTTCCACAACAGGCGTCGCCCCACCTGCACCCCACCGCTGTCTGAACGCGCGCTCCCTCAGCCGGCTGCCCTGCACGCCCCTCAGGGCATAACGAGCACGTCTTTCCGCCCTCGCCTCCCCCGCGCCCCCCGCTCCCCTCTCACCCGCCTCCGCCCCACTCCCCCCTGTCAAGCTGCACTGCTGCTGCCCCCCCACCCCGCCACTGCGCCTCCCACCAGCCCCTGCAGCAGCAGCACTCGCGGTGCTCTCGTCTTTGCCACCCCCCGCCTCCCTCCCGCCCGCCACCTTTCTCAGCAGTCCCCCCACACCCTCACGCCACCCTTCTCGCCGCTCCACTGCTATCCCCAACTCACTAGCACTGAACACCTCCCCCCCTCCCAAACTCATCCTCCGAGCCAACCGCCTCTCCGAACCACCCAGCCCGGACCTGCGTTCCAAGCCTCCCACCGAGCCTGGCGTTCCAGGTGAGGCAGCAGCAGCAGCGAGGCCCAGGCCTAAGGACCACTGACTAAAGCTCTTCCTGTGGCGGCCTCCCCCCTCCTCCTGCAGACTAAGGTGCCGCACAAACCGCCGCTCCCCTGTTGTTCCCCCGGCTGCCTCAGGCGCCCCTGCTCGTCCTGACCCCCAATCCCTGCTTCCCCCCCTCCCAGCTGCGCCCAGACCCCTGCCAGCCAATGGGGAGCGGCCACCTGGACTGGCTGGTGGAGGGGTCCTGGGGTTTGAGTCGCTTCCCGCTGCTGACGTGGCGGCGTCCCAGTGGCCACTGCTCCGTCGGGAGATCCTTTCTTCCGGTAAGCTCAGATTCTTCTGGAAAAACCGCCCTGACCGGCTGCTGCTGCTGCTGCTGGCAGCAGTGGTAGTGACAGTGGTGGCAGCGGTGTGAGGGGGGCCAGTGGGGCTCAGGGCAGGTGGCGCCTTGCCAATGCTTCGACTTGACATGGATCCTGAAGGGGGCAGCCCAGGCCTGCCAGGCAACCACCCTCCTAGCCCTCCTCCTCCCCCTCCTCCTCCTGCCCGCCTTCCTCCCTCCACACCCCTGCCCTCCATCCCCCCGCCACCTCCACTGCCCCGCTCTTGCAGACTCAAGTGCCGCACAAACTGTCGCCCTCCCACGCCCCTCCCACCGCCATCTCCCGCCCTAGCCCTAGCATCACCCCCCTCGCGTCCCCCCTCGCCCACCCGCCCCCCCTGCCCCACGGACTGGTGCAGCGCGCCTGCCCCGGCGCCTGCTCCCCTAGACCCCCAGGGGCTGCCCTGCCTGCTCACCCTCTCCTGCTGCCAACTCGCATGCTTTACCAGTGCCCTTTCCCCCGCAGCCCCACTGCTGCCCATGCCCCTGCCACCACCATCACCACCACCAGCAGAACCACTCGCAGCAGCAGCACCAGCAGAAGCAGCAGTAGCAGTACGTAAGGGACCGGGAGCAGCAAGGGCAGAGCTCCCAACACCATTCCCTCGCCTGCTGCTGCTTTGGCTGTCCGCCTCCCCCACCCTCCGCCCACTGCTGTTGGCACTACCACCACCACTCCCACTACTGCATGATTCTGACCAACCCCCCTCCCCACGCCTCTCAACCACCCGCTCCAGCCCTTTTCCCCCGTCCATCCCCCCCATCGAACCTACCCCCGAGCCTCGGATCCGAACCAGAGGCTTGGCGGCGGCGCCGATCCTCCTGGACCCTCGTTCCAGGCGGCCCACCCCTCCGCCAGCTGCTAGAGCGTCCTGCATCCTTGCCTGCTCCTGCTGCAGCTGCCGCCGCTTACGCCGCCAGTTCACCAGAAACGAGCTTGACGCCCTCACATCCGCCTCCCCTCCGCCCCCCTCCGCGCCCGCCCCTTCCCCCCCGGCTCCCCCCCCTGCTGCCAACCCCTCTCCCCCCCCACCTCCCCCCTCGCCTGAATTGAGGCGTCCCAGCCCACTGCGGCCAAACGCCGGGTCTGCAGTCTTGGGGCGCCCAGAAGATGGCGTGCCAGGGACACTCCCACTCTCCCCCCACTCCCCTCCCCCTCCAATGCTCCCCCGAGACAGACTGCGCATCCACCCGCCTGTTCCCCCTCCCCCGCCCCCCCTCTCCCCCCTGAAGCTGCTCATCACACTCTCCTCGTCCCACCAGCTACCCACCTCGTCTTGGCCATCACCCCTCCCCATCTCGCTCCACCCATCCTCACTCCACCACCCATCCATATCCGTCTGCACCGAGCCGACGCTCGTGGCCCGGCCGAGCCGGCGCTTCATGCTCTTCCACGACCCCAGGCCCGCACCAGACCCTATTCCCGAGCCTATCCCCGAGCCTCCAGCAGGGCTGGCAGCAGAGGCAGGGGCGCCGAGGCTGGACGTCCAGCTGCTGCCCCCGGCAGCAGCAGCAGCAGCGGCTTCACCAGCAGTAGTGAGGCTGCGGGAGGGCGGGAGGAAGGACTTGGGCAGCATGGAGGGCGCTTGGCCGCTGCCCAGGGCTTCATCATATTCAGGGCTGGAGAGAAAGCCGTGCTCCGTGGTACTGAGACTCATTGGAAGCGAGCGTGGCACCATTGACACCCTGCCCTTGCCCTTGCCCTTGCCCTGCTGACTGCTCTTGCTGCATCTGACGTCACCGCTGTCGCTGCCGCTGCTGGTGGAGTCGCTTAGAGAGTCGAAGTCAGGCAGAGCTGAGGATGCCAGGGGGGCGGCGACTCTTGAGGTGGGTGTACTAGGGGTGGACGCGACAGGGGCAGAAGCAGCAGGAGCAGCAGGGGAAGCAGGGGCATGAGTGGGTGCAGCAGGGGAAGGGGCTGCTTTCTTTCCCACGATTCTCTCCCACGCGGCTGCTGCGCCTGCTGCTCGCCTGGCGCTGTCACTTTGCACATAAGCCTCGCTCGCATCTGATTGCACTCTAGCCCTCCCACCTCCCTTCTCTTGTTTGTTTGCTGTAGCTCTCTCCTTCCCACTCCCTCTCTCCTTCCCACTCCCTCTCTCCTTCCCACTCCCTCTTTCCTTCCCACTCCCCCTCTCCTTCCCACTCCCTCCCTCCCTCCCGCTACCTCTCTCCTCCTCACTCTTCCGCCCACCCCACCCACTGCCACTATGCGCAGACCCCCGTCCCCCGCGCCCTCCCTCCGCCTGTGCCCTCCGCCTCCGTAACACCTCCTCTCTCCGCCTCTTCTCCTCCTCCGTCTCCCCCTCGCTAGAACCGCTCTCGCTACTATCACCAAGCTCGTCCGCCCCCACCACGTCAACGGGCTTGCGTGTCAGCCCCGCTGCACCCCTCCCATCGCCCTGCGCGAGCTGCTGCGCACTCCCGCTCCTACCCCAGCTGCTGCTCCCCCCTGCGGACCCCGCCCCTCTCTCAGAGCCTTCCCCCCTCGCCTCGCCAGCAAGCCCCCACTCATCATCCTCATCTTCATCAAACCATTCCGCGGCAGTTTTGCGCACAGGGACCTGCGCGCCTCCTCCCTCCTCTACCGCTTCCTCTCCGCCTCTCCACCCGCCCCCCCGCGCATTCCCCCTGCTAATCTGCCCCTGCTCTTCCCCCGCACGCCCCCCCACGCGCCCTTGCTGCTGCTGCTTCGACGCACGAGCAGCAGCATTATTAGCAGCGGTGTGGGAGTGGTGGATAACCACGCTCTCCGCCTCGCTCCACGCACCCCCTGTGGTCACCGTGCCTGACTCGCTCCACACCACCACGCTGCCTCCCTCGCTCCCAGGCATGAAGCTGCTCTCGCTGCCCTCCCCGTCCCCCTCGCTCTCCCCCCACCCCCCCTCCCCCGCTCTTCCCCACCCGCCCTCCTCCGCGTGCCCTTTCCCTGCGCGTGCCTCCTCCTCCCACCCGTCCCCAGCATCCTCCCCTTCCTCCTCTTCCCCATTACCCATAAGTTTCCCTTTCACGTGTCCCAATATCCTGGATAGTCGTCTCTTTACATGCTTGCGCAAGCCAATGTGGGGGATGGGGGACGCTGACCTGGCGCCGCCTGATTGGTCGACCGCCATTTCATCCTCATTTTTCCGACCCTGGACATCCACGAAGGTAGGCCCGGGAATTGAGGAGCTCGCCGAGCCTGTGCTTTCGGCTCGGCTATGTGACCGAGGCACGCGCCACCACGACTGGGCCAGGTGCGACGGGGACCCTGCTGAGTCAACCCTAGCGAGACCGCTCGGGTCAGAAACCAACAAGACATCGCGCGCTTCGGGAGAATCTCCAGAATTCCAAGGTTTCACGGCAACGCGGCTGCTTCCATCATCGTGAGCGGCGAGCAATCGGTCGTCGCTTTCAGCGGACATGTCGCTCCATGACCGCGACTTCTTCCTCCTCTCCTCCTTCCTCCTCCCTTCCTTCCTCCGCTCCTCTTTATCCACGCCCTCTCCATCGCGGCCCGCTTTCCCCTTCGTCCTTCCTCCTTTCTCTCTGCCTGTTTCATCCTTGATTTTCCTGCCAGATACCGTCGGCTCTACGTCCCCTTTACGGCCTGACGCTTTACTCGCTAACGGCCGCCGGCTACTTCCGTCGGTCCAGCCGGTGAGCTCCTCCTCGTCGTCTGACGACAGCAGCCCGCTGTCTGCCGGGAAGTTCCGGCCGTCTGTAATACCGGTTGACGTCTGACGTGACGGTGTGGTTGAGCGACATTCTGAGTGCGACGACGCGCGAAACATGCCTAAGCTTTCATAGATGCTGCTGTGGAGTACTATCTCCGATCGCTAATGCCACAAAACCACGAGAACAAGATGCACAGTCTAACAACTTTGACTCTAATGAAGTGAGAAAGACCTAAGTTGAGATGAACTCCGTGTGATGGAGACGACGAGACTAGATGGACGAGAGGTAAAAAAGGTGGGAGTGGAGAAGCCTACTAGGCGGTAGTGTCCTGCACTGTGCGCTATGGCTGTTTTCGCTCCCGATTTTGGAGCGGAGCAAGTGCGGATACATCCTTGAGTGCGACCAGGAAATCTTGAATCTGAACAGTAGTCGATAAATCATGGGTGTTATGCCATACAGTACGTTTCTGCACGATTTTCAGCGGTATCTTAGAGATGCAACCTGCTTCGAGGTTTGCTTGCAAGGGTAGGCAGTTTCAGCAGTGCAGGCGTCCAGGCCAGCAGATTGGAAACGGGCAGAAAATAATTGACCCGCTCGCATACTGCTGCAGCATTTGCTGGCAGGCGTGCAAATGATTGATTGCTGCCTGGTCGCTTCTGGCGAGGCGAGGCGACAAGAAAAGCTATGCGCCGCCATTGGCTTGCCCGCTCTGGAAACACCAGAACTGCCGACTGTTTGGAAGAACGTGACCCAGAAGTGGGTAACGCACCTTGTGATTGGTGGAATGTTTCTCGCAAGTAACGCACATGCCCAGCGTTTTCAACCATGTTATAGGCTAATTCGGACTGCACCTCGGAGTTTATATTTTTTAGCATTACCATATTATGCTCCTTATTGTCCACAAGTCCATCAGATTGACAAGGATGAGGTTTGTTGAAGGTGTTGGTATCAACGCTGAATATGAGAATGAATGATAAATAACATATATATATAGAAAAATAGTTGTTTTAACACTTGATTTGATGCTCGCATCTCCTGGTTCTTTGTTGAGTATGAGAAACTAGTTAGAATGTGAGGTAGCGTTAGTTGGTATGTTCTGTTTTGCAACAGAACACTCCATCCTCTCCACTCCAGTGATGATTCTGCTGGGTCCAAGATTTCCGGGTGGAACCTCCTATGATTAGATAGATTCCGCCAGGTCATCCCGGCCCACACGCAAATCCGTGCCACGCCACGGCCTACAAGAAAATCAAACAATTCCCTAGGAGTCTTTCGTCGCGAAGAAGAATGTTCGTGGTTCGCGACGATGGTCGCATCCGTTCAGAGTCGATCACTGGTCTCGTAGCTGTCGCAGAGGCTCATCGCGGGAGGAAAAGGTCGGTTTGGCCAAATGGTAACCAGACGGACTCGTGGTAGCAGACGGTTCAGAGCATCACCTCACCCAACTCATACTTTCCGAGGCCAGAGAAGCCTGAAAGAAGAAAAGGAGCTTTCAAGAATAACAGACAGAAACTGGAGATACCATTGTGACTCAAGAGACTAGTTTGTGTCTTGTACTACAGGCCTTATCTGGCGTTGCTTCTTTAAGCAGCGGCAGTTCCATCGACATTACCGGCTACTTCGGTGATTGGACAGTTCTAAGACAGAGCCATTGCCCTGTCAACCGATTTATTTCTGGAGTACAGAATCATTCTTATCTGCCATTGATTTCTGGCCACATAATATTATATTGACCAGCCATTCCCTCGTAAAGATGTGGAGATTCTGTGCTACGAGGCTTGCGACGACCGCAACTAGATCGCCGTCGTCGCGTTCATCACTGCATCGCGACAATGCGCGCGTTGCGCTATACTTGAGCCCCAAAGTCGTCCCTTACCTCAGCCAGATCCACCGTCCGTTCTCCTCAGACAGCTCAGAAGATAAGGTCCGTTGCGCATGACCCGACAAGAAGTCCCGCACCGATGGCGTAGGATCAGCATTTCTTCAGTGTAGCATTTATTCTCATGCATTCAGGAAAACATTTGTCCGACTCCCTTTTTTTCTCTCCGATTTTCGCGGGTCGTTCCGCAGCTGTTCAACAAGCTATTGGTGGCGAATCGCGGCGAGATCGCGTGTCGCATACTGCGCACGGCGAAGAGGCTGGGCATCCCCACCGTGGCCATCTACTCCGACACGGACATCGAGGCTCCGCACGTCCGCCTCGCCGACGAGGCCGTCCACGTCGTGCGTCCCTTCTCCCTCGTCCCGGTCCCCGTATCCCTCACCCGTCGTCCCCCGCACCACGACCACTCTGGACGTCTCGGACTTGTCGATTGTTCAGTTTTGCGTAGTGTTTTTCGTTTATCCGCCGAAACGGACTGTGCATGCAATCCTGCATCCGCTCCCAGCATTCACCAGCCCGTCATCTTCATCTCTTGCATCCCTTGTTCCCGTGTGCTCTGCGTGCGGGGCGTGCAGGGACCGTCACCAGCGAACGAGAGCTACCGCAACGTGGAGCGCGTCATGGACGCCGTCATCAAAGCCGGCGCCGACGCCGTGAGTGCCGCCGCCACCGCCGCTCTGCTGTCAGATTGTATCGTTGAACCAGATTCCAATGCACTGTGAAACGGTTGGCATGCAACTGAGCAGTGCTTCTGGCATGATTTTGAAACATCCTCGCAGCTCACAATAGAGAGAAACGAATTTCATTCCAGATCAGGGGTGTAACTAGATTCTTATCTCCATATGCTCACTCCCCTGCTGCTCCGCGTGGCGGGCGCGCGCAGGTGCATCCGGGGTACAGCTTCCTGTCGGAGAAGCCCGAGTTCGCGGAGAAGCTCAAGGCGCAGGGCGTCACGTTCGTGGGCCCCACGCCCGAGGTCATGCGCCTCATGAAGGACAAGGTGAGGGCCACATTACGTCATATCACACACAGATGGAGGTAGGGTCACATGTCGTATGACAAGGTCAGGACCCACATCGAGTCCTATCAAGCGTACGGGGCGAGGTAACACTCGCCCTCCGCATGTGCGCAGCACACTCGCACGCTGCGCAATGCCTTAATGAGAGCTCTCCCTCGCGTGCGCGGGCCTGGAATGGTCCACCCCTGTGCGCCATGCATGCCCCTCTCCCCCCTGCTGCCTCTCACAGACGGCGAGCAAGCACGCGGCGGTGGCGGCGGGGCTGCAGGTGCTGCCCATCGGGGATGCCGTCGCCTCCGACGAGGACCACGCCGTCCAACTCGGTACGCCCTCTCGCCCCCTCGCCCTCCGGCCCCTTCAGCCGTTCCTCCGTTCATGCGCTCTTCTGACATCCTGAACGGAGTCAATGATTATAACGCCTGATGCCACGTGGTTCCTTCTGCTGTGGTGCTTCCTCGCTGTGCTGTGCCCGCCACCCCCATTGCACGTGGCTCCCATGCTCCACAGCCAACAAGGTGGGCTTCCCAGTGGTGCTCAAGTCCCTCGATCGCAACCAGTCCCACGTGCTGCGCATTGCCTCGTAAGCTCGCTGCCCTTGCTCTCCCCTTTTCAATGTCGCTATGGCACTACTTCTCTGCGTCCACTTTTCAAGCACAGCACTCTTTGCTGCCTCCTGCTGCAACTGCTGCCTTTCTCACACCCCATTGCTCTGCTCGCTGACCCACGTTGACCGTGTTGACCGCGCAGGAATGCCCGCGAGGTGCGGGACCACTACGACCAGTTCCAGCAGGACCTGTCGTTCGTCTCGCCTGGCGCGCACAGCCAAGTCGTCGTCGAACAGTGAGCGCTCGTGGCGGGCTGGGACGCGGGGACAAGGAAGGGGGGAAGAGCGGGGGAAGAGGGGGGGAAGGGCGGGGGAAAAGGATGGTTGGTGAGGGGGAGGGCGAGTATGCTGTCTGCACGAGAATATACAGAGTTGCGCGGTGGGGATGGGGGTGTGATGGCCTTGCACGGTATGCTGGCCTGGATGCCAAGCGAAAGCCGTGACGGCCATTGGACGAGCGTTTAGAGTTGCGCTTTCCAGACGGCAGTGTTTACAGGCTGACCTGCTGCCGCCTTGCTTCGCTCCCGCCATGCCCTCTCCCCATGCCCGTCCATGCCCGTTCATGATGGCAGCTACCTGGAGAAGGCGCGGCTGATTGAGATTCAGATCGTGGCCGACAAGCATGGCGGCATGGTGCGTGCGTGTGTCGCACTACATTCCCCACGCCTCTCCCCTCGTTTCCTTCACTGCACAACGCATACATCCCTCACTCTCCTTCCTACCACGTTGTAATGAGACCATCCGTGCCTCTCCCTCCTTCCCTGTGCCCCATGCACCTCCAACCCATCCTGTTGGCGCATGGCAGCTGTGGTTCCCAGAGCGAGAGGCGTCCATCCAGAGGCGCTACCAAAAGGTACGCTCGCCTGCTCTCCCTGCCCGTCCTCTCTCCCGTCCTTCCTCTCCGCCTCATTCCCTTGTTCACCTCCCCATCGGCCCTTCTCCGTTTTGCCTT